TTTTTTTTTGCACTTTGGTGCGAAACATAGAGCGTCTGCTGTTTTTAGCCTCACACTTCACACCCTACAACCGCTGACACTCTCTTGCCATTTTTGATTTTCTATACACACCAGATACAATATGTTAATAAGCCACCCCCTTCTGTTACCTTTAAACACAACTGGCAAGATGTTTCACACGTACAGAAATCAAAAGAGCATTTTTCTAAAATGACGAACTCTGTTTTCTCTGAGGATGTTAAAGAACGAAGGTGAATGATAATAAAAAGCATAAAATTCTCAATTAGTCAGTGTAGTGCCAAGTGGATTTACTATCTCTGTCTGAAACACACTGTGCTCCAGGGCTGAGTGTGTCACAGACAGATTATCTACCCTTTAACCCCCCCCCATCCTCTCATCCGTTCAAACAGCCGGTGTGTTAATCAGGTTCAAAGTCTGAATTCATCTCGTTGCCTGAAGAAACTCTATATCTGCTCCAGCTCGGAGTCAGGGGAATGTCCCAGAGCCAATCCTTCCTGCTCAACTCCAAAGATGACACACTCAGTCTCAGATACTGTATTTATGGGAAAAGGGTGCAAGAGAGATATGGGTTGCAGGTACCCCCTCCTCATGTTAGGCCTATTATTTTTTGGGGGGGAGGTTTGTGCCAAGAGACCATGTGTTGAGCTTCAGAGTGCAAGAAGAGTACAAGAGGTTTTAGATAGACGTCCTCGGGGCTCGTGTTATTCACAAAGCTGACTGGGATGTCTATCATGAGTTCAAAGGGGCGAGGAAGATTTTCTTTGGTGGGGAGTCATCTTACATTTGTAAAACACTGACGTGGGCTCTTTAGAATAAAGTGCTCATCATTTTTTCCCACATTGCTGAGCTAAAGAAGCTAAATCATGTGCCTTACACTTGACTTGACATAAAATGACTAAATTCTTTATTAACTTATTAAAAAAATCATTTTCCTAATGGTGCTTTAATACGCTACAGTTGTTTTCTTATGATGATACATACTGTAATGATTTATTAAGAATGTTATGCCTCATAAATTTTTAATTATACAGGATAAAAAACCCTTCATCCTATCTGTGCTGGAATGATCCATCTATAAGATGTCACAGCAGGAAAAGGGTGGGGACATGTAAAAGGAAAAAGGGAGGGGTGTAGGGGGTGTAGAAGAAGCAAAGAAACCTTGAATGAGAGCTTCCAGGACCCTGGAGCGCACAGACACAACAAGCTGGAAAGTCTCAGCTAACTGAGTTTTAAAGGACAAACGATTCAAAATGATCAGAGGACATCTTTAGTAGCTCTTTTCTGAATTATGAATGTAACTTCTGACAAGTCCACTGTGCCACTCCACTGCTGAGAGAAGCTCCCCGTGTGATGGATCAGCTTTGCGCAACAGGTTCTCCAAAGAACATTTAAGCTCGAACTCTGATCCATGTAGGGAACAAAAAGAAGCATGCTGTCACCGCTTTGGCCCTTTGGCATCGAGCAGGAGATCAACTCATGGGATGTAGTGGCTGCAGATTCAGGGTCAACTTTGGGAAGGCGCTGTCCAAAGTCTCGGTCTTTTTCACCATGGTCCTAATCTTCACCTACTTCTTCTACTGCCTCACCGGATTTTGTGATTCGGCTCCAAGAGCTGCATACAGACAAGAAACTTCAGACTTGGACTATGACATTTTGGACGATCTGCGGCCACCCCGGCGCCTCTTCCCCGATGCGCCGTTTCAGCGGAACCGCACAGGCTCCGAGGACGCTCCGGCTGAGCCGTCACAGAATACGCTGGACAGCGAAAAGGAGACTGTCCAGAGCAACGACATTCCCGTGTCCAACACTTTCGGGACCAAAAGGTTTCCGCAGGCGATTATAATCGGCGTGAAGAAAGGAGGGACTCGCGCCCTGCTGGAGTTTCTCCGCATCCACCCGGACGTGAGAGCGTTCGGCGCGGAGCCGCACTTCTTCGACAGGTTTTACGATAAAGGGCTGGAGTGGTACAGGTAAGGATGAACGCACGAATCCACTCATACAGAATGTAACTGGCTTTTAGCCCAGGTTTGACCGCAAATCATAAAATGTAAAAACTGTAAATCGTGGACCATCGCAGGCAGTCCAAAACTTTAAAACGACACAGGGTGTCTGCTGTAAAAACCGATGTGGTCTTTATAAGTGAATCTGACAGGTTTATTTGGAAAAAGTTTGAACACGATTGCATATTTGGATGTCATGCCAGCCAATGCAGGATTGTATATGCTGTAGGTGGTAAAAGGTCAGCTGAGCAGCACTGATGTTTTTGCTGACATCTTATCACCTGTGTAGATGTGCTGATTTCCTCCGTCAATAGAAGAGACAGCAATGCATTGGCTGGTTGATAGATTCGGATCAGCTTTAGACAATGTTCCCTCTCTTGTGCTGCTCTAGATCAAAAGGGCTAGTGAGGTCCCAGAGGAGCGTTTCATCATCTTGACAGTCATCTAAACACCATTTATTCACTTCAGCATGACATCCTGTATAGTGTTCCCCTTTTTGCTCTGCAACGGAGCCACAAAGAACCCATGCAAACATCACATTGATTACTCTAACATGTAAAATCTACAGCAAATACCCCATCATATACCATATAAAGCACCTTGGTGTGATTTGGAGCTATATAAATAAAATGAAATTGAATTGATTTAGAGAATTTTCAAAAAGCAAAAACACAAAAATCTGATTGACATGGAGAGCAAACACTGAGTGATGATCTTAGTTAATGTGATTGCACAGTTCCTTTACAAAAGGCACATAAAATGTTCATCAGCTACTGTCATACTGACAGCACATGATTTGGGGTGACCAGGCTGACCAGAGCCCTCATTTGGGTGTAGTTAAGGCCCTAAAGAAGGATTTATTTGTGCGTGAAGCTGGTCCTGATCATCTCCATATGTTCTACGAGCTTCTGGATATGATCCCAGCTGAGCAGCGTGTGAGAACACAATGCCATTTGGGGACCTTTAAGCAAGAGAGGTGTCATAACTACACAGAGGTTTGACAGGGTAAGGATCATGAATAACAGGCACTTTGATAGCAAGATGGTGTAATTTAATCTTCCTTTGCCTTATTTTCTAAACCCCCCTTTGCTGCCTTTTAATAGGAAACATAAGGACACATGGAAACGGTTTCACCACTGATAATTTTAGCATGCTGTTAAATTTCTTCTCTCTCACTTTTTCTCTGTGCACACACAAACACTCATATATACCGTATGTATGTTAGCAGTCTTAAGTACTATGTTACCTATCCTCTGTCTCTCCATGCCACATTTACAACTCATCCTTCTCCCCAGATTTCTCCCTGTCACTTTCTCCTTCTCTCCTTGCGTCTCTTCTCCTCACTCTCCCTTCAGAATAGCAGAATGTGAAAATACCTGTGGCCAAACTCGTGTTTCCGGGGCATTTTTTTATGTGTGTTTTAATTAGGCTGACTTGTGCTGTAAAGCTGTTAGGCCTTAATGGTGTAACACAGCACTGCCACTAACACGGCCTGTAAAAACACGGCCTGTAAAAGGTAGATCAGTCATGCAGTAATATCGCCTAAACCCAACAACAAATCTAAGTCACCACATGCAACATGAACATTTTTCAAAGTGTAGCCAAGTTAAGAGGTGTAATTAAAGTAAAGTGATCACCTGTAAGTGTTTAAGAGATTAAATGGGAGTTCTGCATGGATATAACTGATAATACCTGCATTTGTTCACATTCACAGTATCACAAGAACGTGAATGTGGATTATGGTTTTGTCTTTTGCTGTGATTTTTTTTTAAAGAAGTGAACTTCACTGAAAGTTGAGGCGGAGAAAATTTGGAAGGATTAATGCAACAATGGAGAGTGACAGCAGCAACATGATACCGGATGAAATCACTGAAAGATGATTCCGCTCTTGTCACCAAATCGCAAAAATTGAGCAAATCTGTTTGCTGTCATCTGCAGTGACCCACAAAGAAGCCGCTGGAAGTTGTAGACAGCAGCATTTTGTGTATGTGTGTGTGTGTGTGTGTGTGAGAGAGAGAGTCAGTGACAGAAAGAACTTATCCATGTGGAACAAGCAAGTCCTCCTCATCTGACTGTCAGTCACAGGGTCAACTCTCTGTCACATCTGGATGTGACACACACACACACACACACACACACGCACACACTCAATGCAGTGTAAAGCAGTAGTTTAAGACAGGCTCTGAAAACGCAACCCCTGCTTTGACATTTAATCTTTCTGAAGTTCTCTGTCTCATCTGATCTCATAAGATAGAAAACCGATTGCTGTAGATATTCCTCCGGATCATCCATTTAATATTACCACAGCACTTATTTATCCATATCATAAGTGATAAAGTGATGATAAACCGCTTTAATCCTGAATCTTTCCCTTCAGACAAATATGACCTTTGCGTGCTTATATATCTGCCATAATCCCCATGAATAAAAATGGTGCATTGGAACTGCTGTTGATTATTTTTACAGACGAGTCACAATTTTATAAGTAACAAACAGCCGCTTGCCAAGATACATGGTCACACACTGGCATATCTGAAAGCAATTTGTGCACTGTCATAGTCTGCTCTCTTTCCTGGATGGAGAAATAAGCACAAACCGAAGGCGACTGTAGCAGATGGATGAGGGTTGTAATCTGTCATATTTGAGTCATTGCTGTCAGATGTTGGATGAAACCAGGGGCGATCTGCATGCTGGAGACACTTCATAGATTCAGCAGACAGAAGTACCCTCCCGTGCGTGTTGTTCCAACAGCACTGTCTTCTCGAAGACGAGCTCAGACCTCATGCATGTGTGTTTTCCATTGCTTTTATCTGAGCGATCAAGTCAGTCTCCGCTCTCTTTCCTTCTCCGCCCTGTCTGTCTCTTCATGCCGTTCTCTCGTTTGCATGTGTGCATACGAGCCCATTACGGGAATGGAAAAGCCACAAATAGTGCATTGAAAATAAGGCAAAGATTTAACGGTTTTCTGTGTTGTTTTACGGCTTAAAAGAGACTTCACAGAGTGATGGGTTTCATATGGGACTTAAGAGCCACCGCAGAAAGCTGAAAAACCTCAGCTTTCCATGGCACAATAGTTGTAATTGTCACGGCTTTGTCACAGTGATGAGGCCTGGAATGAGTAATGATTAAATTCTGTCTGATGACGTCAAAGTGAGCGCATTTATTTCTCATCTTGTAGAAGAGCAAACTCTTTTTAAAAAGATTACTTCTTCATTTCTGTTTGAGGAAAAACTCAAGTTCTCATGGCTCATCAATATTTTACAAGGTTATCAATTAGCTGACCTGTAGTCTTGACACCACAGGCCATGCCTGATTGGATTGCAATTAAAACATGGTATAAATCCATTAAGGGTAACAGCACAAGGGCAAGCAAAAATGCCAGCTCTGTTAAAAATGACATCAGAAATGGATTTATGCAAACAAGACTGGATATAGATGACAACAGATCAAAATAAGAGGAGGACATGCCGATCTTTATGGGGTCAGACTGATATACACATTTGATTTTATTATTTTAAAACATATAATCGGCATTTACACCAGCACCAAAATGTCATTTTATCCCTTGATTTTTCTAGCATAACCATTAAAATATACATATCTGCACATTTTAAAGGTCTCTTTTTATTATTTTTTTTTTTTTTAGATTACTGTTATATTTCAGCTTTAGTTACTCTGGAAATCCTGACGATGAGAGTCCTAGCCAAAAAAGACAGCAGTGCAATCAACTGAGTTGCATAAACTAGACTACATGCACAAATATAAACAGAATAATACACAAATTAACTATACAAAAATACAGCTGGTGAAAATAAAATACGAGGACAACCAAAATTTATAAACGTCAGCAGCAATGAAGCCTAAAACATCAATATTGTCTCACACCAGAAACAAGGGTAATATTCAGGCAAAACATTTGCAGCATTAAGGAACTGCATCCAAGTCATTTAAAATCGCCTTAGATTCATTTTAGTGTGACCACTTCCTTAAATTTAAGCTGATTGTATATAAAAGATGGACGCAACGGTGTGGTCAGCCATTGGTTAGTGAAATGCTGGCTTGAAGCCTTCAGCTGAGAGCTCTCACTGCCACCATCATACATCACTTGTGCGTGGTGAGGATGGCAGCTCCAAAGCGTACCCTGCTTTATCCTCCTTTTGGACTCTCATGGAGACTTTAAATTACAAAGTGAATGTCACGTTCTATTAGGTAAGACTTGAAATTTGCATCTGAGCCCACAAACTCATCAGGAAAGTGTTTAGTGAGGTCATAGATCAAAGGAGCCAAAGGCGAGTTTTCCCACAGGCTGAGGTTTTGGAGAGACATGGCTGGTCACCATGTCACATCAAGATGTGTTGCTGTAGGGTCAAGTGAATAAGGCCCCGTTCACACCGGCCTTTTAAGAAGGGGAAAATGTGTATTCTCCAACCAGTTGTTGCAGGCTGATGGCAGGCACGATGGAATCTAGCGCTAAACTCTACATAGGCCTAGAGCTCTGGTTGGTGACCCATAGCAACCACCAGTAACCCCAACCAGTTGGCACAGACCTCCTTGCAGTTGCTTTGGTTGCCAGCAGAACACCACAACTGCTGGTAATTTGCATGGAAAACGCCAAGTGGTCTGCAAACACTCATCAACAATTCTCAGAGCTGTAGTGAAGCTGTGAAAGCAGCAACACAAACTAGAAGTTGCCTTCAAAGTAAAAGTTGCACCTTTTCAAATGTGTTGGCTGCTGCACCGGGGTCAATCCTTTCTTCGAATGTGAACATTCTCTGTTTACAGTTTGCATGGCAGTTCTTTCAGTTTTTATTACGTAAGTGTTTGCAGACATGTTAGCATCTTCTATGCACAATAATCTAACTGCTGTCACTGAAGGTTTGCAAACCTATATGTCAAGAATAATCCGTTCAGCCGAAAGAAAAATAAGATATTTTTAGGCACTTTAGTCAGCTGTGACAGATTTGTGTGCA